AAACTAGTACAGAAAGTGGTCCGATAAAGAAGAAAGACGACAAGTACCCAATTAAGAGACAGACAAACTCTTCACTTGGCATAAGTTATTTGTATTCTTCCCACTAACGAGTTCCATTGTTAGAACTCCGAAACTGTAAACATCTGCTTTATGTGTCAGGTGGCCCCATAATGCATATTCTGGTGCCATATATCCTCTGCGCATTAAAATGGTGATGTGTTAAGCAAAGCATGCTCTTTATGTATGTGCGAAAGTAGAGATAAAATATTGAAGTTCGTTGGTTATTAAAAAGGTAAGGAACTCATATGGTTCCAGCAACTCGGGTGGTGACATGGGTCTTCTCCTCTTCATCGAGCCTAGCCAATCCAAAGTCGGATATTTTAGGGTTTGTCACCATCGAGAAGCACGTTAGTAGCTTTAATTTCTTTGTGAATAATGTTGAGTCTTGATTCTTCATGCAGAAAAGCCAGACCTTTAGCTATACCGATACATATCTCAAGGCTTGTAAGCTAGTCTAGTTCAAGCTGATTGCATTCTGAACCTGCTTATTACGTCAAGGAAGCATGTTAAATTTTATCCATGAGAAACATGACAATTGACATCAGTTGATCATGACTTGATCTTTTAACATTACAAAGAATGAAACAAGAAAGGATGAGTGCATGATGCAAGACTCGCCGAACAATGCACGAGCGAGGCTATTGTTTTCCATGTACTCATACACTAGAAGCAATTGATCCCCTTCAACACAAAATCCGTGGAGCTCGACAAGATTTGGGTGTTGTAAACAAGATATCATCCCAATCTCGTTCAGAAATTCACGATTCCCTTGCCGTGAGTTAGAGGAGAGCTGCTTTACTGCAATCTTGGTACCGTCAGGTAACTGACCCTGAACCCCCAAACTTTATTAGGTTCTCAGATATTGAGTAAAATAAGAAATATTAATAACAGGATCTTCATATAGCATTAAGCGAGGCACCTTGTAAACAGGATCGAAACCACCTTCTCCGATCTTGTAAGCAGGATCGAAGTCACGGTAGCAACTTTAATCTGTTTCAAAGTGAGAGTACCTGCTGGCATGTCTTCTTTGGTACCTGTCCAAAAAAGAGCCAAATATGTATGTGCTTGTTTCATGATTCCTTAAACTAGAAAAATAAATCATGTCCCGAACTCCAAGTACTGTAACTAAAATGAGCATCGACTACAAGCGATCATTCAATCATATTAAATTTTAATAAATATTTCATATTAATTTTTTTATTTAATTTGATATGGTAGTTTAAGAAAAAATTAAATCAGATTTTACTCTTATATTTGTTGTATTCTTTTATACTAGTAATTATAGAAAAGAGACATACGATTTGATTTACAAGTAACACATCACCAACCGAATTAGAGGATGTACGTCCTTTCCGCCAATATTTCCCAAGCAAGTGGCCTTTCCACCATAGAAGTCCCACTACGAGGAGGCCAAGGCATGATCCTAGAACCCCAAAGCCAGCGATATACACGGATATATTGCGTCTTCTATTCAAGCAAGGTTTAGAATCTGTCCAACGCAACAATGTTCATCAATAAGAAAGAATAAAAAAGGCCTAGCAGAGATCTTTTAAAGAGAATTTGTGTTCATTTATATGTTTTCCAGGGAATGGAGGACTAGCAGATAGCATACCAGAAACTACAGAAATAGCATTTACAAGTGGCCCATACACACTTCTTTCAGGAATCCTCGTTGTTCCTTTTCCGGCCCAGCAGAACCGAATCTCCAGGAAATTATTCGTCACACTTACATTTGGAACTTGTTTAAACAAAGGTTTTAGCGCTCCCATCACCTCTGATTCAATGTTGAAGTCTTTCCACGCTAACTTTTCCTGTGACAATGGAGATTAATGTACCCAACTTAAGAGAAAAAAGAATGTAATCTTCAAAAGCATGCTTAACTAAACACCTGAACATAGACATCAAATATGCGCCTACCGAGGCTGTTATAAGTTTCATCACTACTGAACTGTATCTCTGCAAAATTGAAAGTTATGGTGTAATTTCCATTCACTAAACAATAATGGAAATAAGTGAGCATTATCGGAGCTCTCTCCTTCATACAATACATTTGCTTTATTTTCCTTGATCCGTATGTCCTTTCCACCGCAGTTAACATGTAAACAATTTGAATCTGCTCAGAAGAGAATAATTAGTGTTAAAGAAATAAGCTAAGTGATATACATTTTTTGTAAATCTATATTTTTAAAATGAGATTAGAAAAGCGGAGAGGGATAAAACTAATCATTTTAGCACTGATTCGCTTCATATGAAAGAAATCTAGGTAAAATGCTAAAATGCAAGTGGTCAATCCAATGAAGGAAAAGGTTGAGCGGACTAAAAGTACTGGCAGTTCACATATTCCGACTCATGAAGGAGACAACTTACATCGAGGACAAGTGAAAGACTTCTTGCATGGAAGAGAACCCATCCTGTTACAGAAATTTAGAACTGAAAATCGTTAGTACAATGTTTGTGCAGTAAAACACACAATGCTCTTCTTCCATACGAAGCCACCAAACACCTGAAGGAAAAACTAAGAAAAACGGAAAGATAACTCTTACATGTTGTTCCTTGATGAAGAACTATGAAACAAGTTCAAGTTCAGATTCCTAAGGAAAAATAAAGATGATGAAATATTTGTTAGCTCCACATCATATCAAAGATGAAAGTACGAAGGCAAGACTAAAACAAAGGTAGTCTGAGTCTGACATGTTATCTTGACAAACAGGTTCCCAGGGCCTTGCTGTTGAAGTCATTGTATGAAAGATCACTGCATCCAAGTATCGAGAATCAGTATAAATTTCCGAAGCGAAGATGAGAATGAACTTAAATAGCACTATTTGATTATTCAGAGATTCTTCTTTCTATCCTTTTTCTATTTTGGTTGTTAAAAGCAATTCCCTTAGACAAGGGAATAAATGGAAATGTGATGATAAGTAGTGTCACAGGCAGAAACATACATGCTAGTTCCTTGCTTCAGTATAGAATCCGGCACATCTCCAATTAGAAAGTTGCCACTTAAAAAGCTAATAAAAACCCGCTCCAGATGGTCAGTATGTCGTATCAATCAGGATAACAGATAAGAATCAACTTTAAATTAAAATTCAGATTTCATGTATCAATGCCAGTTTTTAAGTGACTCGAAACTGGACAACTTTAACATTAAATCTCAGATAAGATTGCTCATAACCCTAAAACCATGGATGTAAGTTTCTATTTGTACGCATACACCTATATTTTCTAGCTTCTACAATAAATAAATTCCAAACGCTTATTCAGAATCTTAGAACAATCTCTTTCAGCAATGAAATCCAAAAGAAAGCTAAAACCTGGCACAATAAAACCTGGCACAAATGCAAATTTATACTTACACAAATCTTAGACGATCTGCACTGCTCGGGATTTCCCCAACTAAATTGTTGAACTAAGATCCCTGTTACAATAGTGAGATAAATTAACCAAAATAATCGAATATAATTTTAAAACTAGCAGTTTCCATCAATAAGGTAGAAACTTGCTATTTGAATAAAAAAAAATATGAGTTCATAGAAGCCAATAACTTGGTGATAGAAAATCTACTCAAGAAGGTTCTTGAGGCAGATTTTAACTAAATAAATAATAGAGAACTGTACTCCAGAATATTAAGTCCAAGAAAAGTAATGGGAAGTAAGTCATGAACTTTTCTTTCACATGCATACTTAAAGCAATCTTCCTCAGTTAAAAATTGAAGCAATCTAGTCAACAATTAAGACCAAAAAACAGAGAAACCAGACATGTTATCAATTCTAGAACTGCCTGGTATTTTGCGTTCTCAAGATATTTTAGACCACGCCCCTTCTAGTTTAATATATATGTACCATTATTACTAACATTCCAAATTTGTCTCCCAAGTGCTTGCTTATTACTTTCTAAGCAACCTTTGGCATAGGGATATATTCCTTGATTATAAGCCTAATGCTCCCCAAATTTCTACTTAAGCATAAAGACCATGACTTTATCAGTTCTGAATTTTTATTTGAACTGACAAACTTACAGTTTGTTGAGTAGTTCCCAGTTCTGAATGAAACTAGGTATCCTTCCACTGAAATTGTTATCATATATCCTACTGCAGTAAACAAAATGCTGCTGGTCCTATGAGCATGTCCAGATAGATGGGTTTAAAATACAGGCAAAATTGAAGAAACTTACAAGTCAGTTAGATTTCTTAGTAAACTAAGCGTCACTGGCAAATTCCCGGTTAACTGATTGGAGGAGAGCATCCTGAAATTACAATGAGCATGAAAACAAATCATTTAATCGAGGGCAAACATGAAATTCAAAGAATAGTAAAATAGAAAACAAAGAAGAAGAAGAAGGTACTGAGTTTTCCCTTACAATGTTTCCAAGTTCACTAAATCCCCAAGTTCAGGCGGTACAGGGCCCGAAAATTGGTTTGCTTCGAGATTCCTGATAAAAAAAAGCATCAAACATCCCTAATAAATTCCCTATCAAGTGAAAAAAGGAATATGAAAAAACCTATAATCTTCTAGCACCTACAACGTCCAATAAAACGCAGACTTTGCTGTTTCGGTTTTGAATGTAACTTCTTTCTAGGAAGTTAATCATTATAGCACCCTGAAAACATTAACTAAAAACTACAATTAACCAAGGTTCAGAACATACAAATATGTGAGAGTGGTAAATTTTCCCAGGTACTTCGGAAGTTCCCCTGACAAGCGAAAAAACATTCAGGTTGATATATTGTGGGAGAACAAAACTATGTTAGGAGTTCTAAAAACTTACATAGAAGTCAAATTCATTGAAGTGAGTTCACTTGGAATGGTCCCTTCAAGGTAGTTGTACACAAAATCACGGCGACAAAAAGTAAGATAACATGAAGCAGTTAAACACCGTTGGTCAAGATTACAATTAGTATGTACAGTATAAACATCATAGTAAATCATTTCAAGAGCTCTTACATTTCTCGAGGGTAAGGAAGCTTAACCAGTTGAGGAGGAAGTATTCCAAGAAGGTTATAGCCCTTCAGCACTCTAAAATACATAAGACAAAGCCATAGTAGTATAACAACAAACGAAAAGAAACAGACACTATAATTGATCCTAATAGCCCCTCTAAGGAAACCATGAAATGCATAAACAACTGAAATAGCTTTTCCATGGTCATTGCATTAAGGGGCACGCAGATAGTATATGGAAATAACGCCTCAAAACAAGAACCGATGCAAATATAAGCTACTTAGATTGCAAAAGCCATAACTACCCTCAAATGCTGTCCTTGACAAACCCCCTTGGGTTCACTTTGGTTAGAAATAACCATGCATAAACATATTGGACATATAGAAAAAATCACACTTGAACAGATTAAAGAATTAAAGTAAATTATCAAGTAACAAGATGAAGGAATAATACATCCTTACGACGTGACAAACAGTGCCATCAGCCTCACATTCACAAGAGATCTCATGCTTGGAATTCTTTGGTGGCACGAGCGTTACCCCAACCCTTTCAATTTCACAGGAATCACCATTAAATTTTCAGTATATGGAGCCCATTGCAGTAGCAATCTCTTGCAAAGCATCAACTAGAAGACATCCATAGTTCCGTAAGCATCACAGCAATATATATGAACACAAAAATGAACATAATCATAGCTAGCTCTATTCGTTAACATATTGATAAATTCAACTTCCACACCAGTCTTGCATAGAAAGCGTAAAAGAGAAAATCAATGCAGTTTAAAATTTCTTTTCAGATTTAGAAGTTGACTTTGAGTGAAACTGCAACCCAATTTTGAAACATTTTTTCGGATCAAAGCAAGTTTGGATAAAAGAAAAATAACAATAGGGCTATATTTGATATATTTGATGCAATAGCTGTGTAAAGATTTACACCAAGTATATATCCATATTAGTCTTAATTAGACCAGCATTTGAATCTGTAAGTATATAAATAAGATGAGAAGGGCTGGAAAATATTACGATAAATTGCTTAAACCAACACATTTCAAACACTTGTCTACTATCATTTGACTTCATGCCAAAGATCAACTATTGATGAACTTTCCAATAATTGAAGTTTCATTGTCATTATGAACAGGAAAGATGGGTATTTAAGCAACAAAACAATAGTTAGTACCATTTCAGACATTTTTTAATCAATCCAAGAAATCTAAAGCAGCAAAATCCTATAAGATTCCAGTTTATAGATAAGTTCCTGCAATGGGTTTAAAATTCATTCGACTTTCCCTTCACCTGTCCCACGAACTAAAAATTTATACTAAAAAAGAACACCCATTTTCCCCCACAATCTCTTCAACCAAATAAAACTACCACAAATATAAAATCAGATCTTGAACTTTGACTCACCTTCTTCTTTGGCCACCTTAGACCCAGCAAATCTAAGCAAACTAAAGCAACTCATTGCAATGATCCAGACGACAAAGATTTTCTTGGTAACCATGACGACTACGAGAATCAGCTCTACTCGATCCAGCCTCGAAAGAATAGAAAAAAATGTTTATGATTATAATCATGCAAGTAAAGTTATTGAGTTTACAAATCCAAAAATCAGAGTAAAAGGAAATTGAAATGCTGGGAGTTATAGGAAGTAACAATGTAAGTACAAAAAAGGAAGTATTGTCCCCCCTTATTTTTGGCATATACCGGACTGTTTATACATTAGAAAGGAAACTTTGTACGGAAATATTGGCAATTTTAGCAGAGTGGGAATGCTTATGTCTATTTTAATCAATTTATATTGAATATCTTGCTGCAGTAAATTCACATTTTTTATTTCCATAAGAAAGGATTTGGTATTTAAGGTACAGCAGTAGCATCCATGGATGAGACTGAAGCAAGAAACCACCTTTCTGGGGGGTTGTTAAGCTTTTGTTTGTTTTGTCCATTAAAGTACTTTGAATCATTTGGTAAGAACGATGCATGACCGAACATTTTTTAGCTCTTTTTGACATTAATAAGTTCGATCCTTACTCGTCGGTAATTTTACCCAAAAATCATTCTAACAATTAAATATTAACTATCAAGCACAATTTCACTAAATATTATCGATCTAACACCCTTTCTGACAAAACGCAGATCATAAGATGCGCCTTTGCAGGTTTTGTTTGAGCTGAGGACATAATAGAAAAGCACAGATCATAATTCACGCCTTCGTGAGGTTCTATCCGAGCTGATTCCACAGTGGTAAAGCACAGATCATGAAACGTGTCTTTGTTTTAAATCTCAACCATCCCACCTTAAATATCGCTCAACCTCCTGTCCCCCTCCCTTATAAATACTCCCTCATCAAACACTTATAGCACACAAAAAAATTCTATTTCTTCATTTTATATATCGTTCTATCAAGTTTTAAATAAGTATAATTATCGTTTTTAGAAGCTAAATTTTTATTTTATTATATTTTATTGTACTAATTGTTATTACTTTTTGTAGTTATAAAATGACAGACATGTTGTTACGTTTAGATGAGAATCACATATCGAATCATTTTGTCAATACGATAATAATTTTAAATTATTTTATTTTATTTAGTGTAAATGTTTTATTTATTTTTTTGTTTTAGTTTATATTTTAATTTTTATACTATTTATTTAATTAGGTGACTGATCATATATTAGATCCATTTATTCATAACGCTAATTAGAGATATCGAGTCGTATCTGGTTGTATTTAGTTGAGGTTGTATTCAGTTACATAGTGAAATATGAAAGGCATTGTAACCTTGAATTCAACTTTATTTCTACATTGATTGAGAGGTAGATACCAGAGACACACACATTTTATCTTCTGTGTGGGGAATCCACTATTATGCTGAAGGATGTTTCTTTATATTTAGGGCTTCCGGTAGATGAAGATGTTATTTCTGGTGTGACGGATGATGATTGAAATTCATTGTGCGAGGAGTACCTTGGAGGTATCTAATTTCAACGTTGTTCTAATACCATTATCATGGTTGGCTTGAATTTTTCGACGGTTGAGCGATGACTGTTCCGAGGAACAGGCTCAAATATTTACCCGGGCTTACATATTGCAACTCATACAAGGGATCTTGATGTCCAATAAATCTCGCAACCAAATTCATTGTATGTAGTTGTATCATCTCGCAGATTTTCGAATTGTCGACTCATTCAGCTGGGGCTTCGCGGTTTTGGCATCTTTGTATAGAGAAATTTGTCGAGCGATTGATTATTAAAAAAATGCTATCGGCAGATGTCTCATTCTTATGCAATCATGGGCGTGGTATCGTATGCCAGTTTTATGTCTGGTCGTGAAAAACTCGTTAGTCTTCCAGTTATTGTTAAGGTAATTTCAATACTGAGTTTGTATATAAATATTTTTTTTTGGGTATATAATAAATTTTTTACACTGAATAGGTAGTCATCTATAAGGAAAGATCACCGTGATATACCAGACGAATTAGAAGAAATTTGACTGATCATTGATAAAAAAGCTGGTACAGAGATATGTATTTAAATTTTATTATTTACCTTTAATTATCGTTATATAATTAGAATATTATTTTGATAAAAATTATATATATTTGTTTTAGTTTCAATGGGCTCCTTATTCTACTGAAGAAATAAGATGTTGCATCCCACCTTACTTGAGTGACCCATTAGATGTATGGATGGTGGTGGTTCATCTGATATGTTATGCTATTGTCGAGTTGCATCCTATTGATCGCGTGTTTCGTCAATTTTTTTCGTACAATCTATTCCTGAAACACCTAGGAATCTTGACAATATGCATAACATCGATAGACGGGACAAAAAAGAAGTCAACTGGCTGATGAAGCATAGCGAGTGGGTAATGATATGGGAGGATCGACGTGGACGTATTCCCCGTAGGGAGCCAATTTATGTGGATCATTATTCGATTCCGGATGACTATTATCAGTGGTTCAACATGAACGGGAAGTCGTTCCTACTTTTTTAGGAAGCATGAGGCAGTAGCATTCATCGACATTGAGAAAAAGTTCACCATCACATCATCATCGTCCCCCGAGTCGTGGACGGAGAGTAAGTACTTCTGGCTTGTCCTCAGCTGCAACAACTGAACCATCACAGCAACCACCGATTTATATTCTACAACTATTTCAGATGCCACCGCAGCCATTTTAGATGACATCGTAGGGTTTTATGACACCTCTTGGCGGATATACTTCATACTTATAGTTCCAACGTGGTCTTCACATACTGCTTATTTGGCGGGTGATGCTTCCCCAGAGATACAGACACCTTCGGCTCAGTTTTTGCATTCATCGATGTCGATATTTTCACAATTTTCTATGAGCGTTGGGATGATTAATCATACACATCTAGGATCTTTATTCTATAGAGGTGTTATATCATCATCCGTCCTTCGTTAACAAAATGTAGTTGCTATTGTTGTTGTTGATGCTGATGATAACGATGATGAGAGTGAGAAGGAAGTGCAACTTATATGAAGAAATCCTCATCGAAATAGTCACCACCCTGTGGAACACATTTAAGACGTAGACATCAATAGACTTATTTTTATTTATTTTGTTTCTTAATGTTTTTATTTAATTATGGACTTTTTATTTATTTTGTTTCTTAACGTTTTTATTTAATTATGGATTTTTTTATTATTATTTTGTTTTTTTAATATTTTTATTTAATAATGAACTTTTTATTTATTTTGTTTCTTAATGTTTTTATTATTTAATTGTTTGAATTGTAACATTTGTATTTAATGTTTCTATTTAATTTTCACTTGAGTAGCATATCACTTGAGTACCACATTAATTAAAAGTAAACGAAAATGAAATGAAACAAACTGAGGCTTCATAAGCAACAATTACATCGTCACAACATCAACAGTTACGTGATGATAAAAGAGATGGACATTTTTTTCCTATTATGACCTAGGTTTCGCCCACATATTTTGTTTTCTCTGGACGTCTCTCGAATATACATATCACAATGAATTCGAGTGAACAACTTCCAATAACAAAACTTGATTGTATTTTCCATACAAAAATGTCCCATCAATTTGAACCATGGGGTTGCAGTATTTAACAACATTAATGCACTGTGGGTAAGTCTCGAGATATGATCCTGCCTTCCATTTTACAACCGTAAAAAATAATACAAAATAATTAGTATAATAAAATTTGGTCAAATAATTAAATATAAAATAAATATAATATAATAAAAAATAATTTTACCTTCTAAATACTATAACAAAATTTACTTGGCTTGATAGAAGGAAAAATATGAAAGTAATTTTAGTGTGGTTTGATGTTTGTATTCGAGGGTATTTTTAGAGGAGGGAATGAGTGAATAACCAAGAGAGTGAAGGCTCAGGTAATAATGTAGTGCGCAATAATTCAAAGTGAATAAGGCGCGCCTTCCCTACATGTGTCAAATTTCCCAACGAAAGCGCGCTTCAAGATCCGCGCCTTTGCTATGTGGTGCCAGCTCGGATAGAACCCTGCGAATGTACACTTCATGATCTGCGCTTTTCTATCGTGCCATCAGCTAGGACAAAACTCTACGAAAGCACGCCTCATGATCTATGGTTTGTCAAAAAAGGTATTAAATCAGTAATATTTAGAGAAAGGGCTAAAAGATAATATTTCGGGGTATTATTTAGGTAAAATTTCCTTACTGGAATCCCCCATCTTGAATGAAGTGGTATGATGAGGCTAAGGCATGTCGACTGATGAACAAATAGGCATTGATTTTGACTGTGGTCCACAAGTTGACTCTACTTTTAAAAAATAGATGGGCCGCTCTCTGGTTTTTCAAAAGCCGAATTAATTGATTTACCCTCGAGGATATTTCTATCTCATGGAATTGAATTGTTTTCTTTTTAGAGAAAATAACTTCAGTAACCGAAAATGCCTTATAATATACGATTTTAACCAACTTTTTTTGGATTTGTAAAAATGACCAACAAATTCGCAACGCGAAGTCCAATTTCGCAACACATGTTCCAAATTCGCAACGCGAATAGTCAAATTCGCAACGCGAATATGTAAATCGCAACACAGAAGTCAAATTCGCAAAGCGCGTTTATTTTCGCAACACGAATTTTATTTTCGAATTCGAAACATAATATTAATTTCGCAACATAAATGTAAACAATATAATTGCAAATCATAACCTAAAACCCTAAATTACAACTCAGTCCCATCTCCATCTCTCACTCTCTACAGTGACATCCGTCCCCATCTCCGACGAAATCCGTCCACGTATCCGGCGACCCCCCTCTATCTCCATCTCTCAGAGCCACCCTCACAACCTTTCACGGCCACAAATAGAAAGTCAACCACCGAGGGTTAGTTTTTTTTAATTATTTTTATTTTGAAAATTTTGTATTATTATTAGATTTTTCATATTTAAATTGATGATAAATTTACTGGTAATTTCAATAATAGATTAACCATTTCAATTAGATTGCTTAGTAAATTCATTCGGTTTTTGTCTTTGTTTTGTCTTTAACCCTATGAAGTTAGTATTTGCCTTTGTTTTTTCTTTTGGTTGAAGTAATGCAATTCATTTAAGTTTTAATTTGTAGAAGAATAGTTTTTGAAACTTAAATTCGCAACACGAAAATGAAAATCACAAA